ATATAGGCCTATATATAGACTAGTCATAATAATAATTATAGCATTATCATAGCCAATACTTCCGGATCATTTGAACTGTTGGACTAAAAACCAAAGTATTAATAATTAACCCTGTGATTGGTTGAATTGTAATCTTAAATGTAGTCTAGAATGAATTACCACCGTTTTCTTAAACATAAAAAAACATGTCCTGTTCACCAAAATAATTTCCATATAGAGCAATGTACTATTAGTATTATCGAGGATTTTGTTTTATATTAATTTATCAACCCAACATGCAAGATTAATATATTTATCTATGATAGAATTCACTACTAATCAATGCAATAGGCCTATAGAGGTTTTTTTTTCTTATAATAACAAAAATCCGAATGGAGGACACAATATCGTTCGGTGTACTCAAAACATCAGCTCAACGACTGTGTAACAATTCCTCAGATAGAAATAATTTTTAAAGTTCAGTTGTTTATATAGGTCTAATAGATATTATGAAAATCGAAAAGGGGGAGGGGGGCTAATGATGTGATAGGCCTATATGCCGATACTTTAATGTATGTGCGTAGGCCTCCTATACAGGTATCTAGTTTATTATTCCAAAACAGCTGATGTGTGGGCACAGTGCGGTTTTAGAAGAAAAGACTGGTGGGAGATGTGGTTCAAAAGCTGTGAGCATTGTCCAAAGATTTCCTAATCCTTTGCGCAGTTTATAATCTACCCACTTTAGTATCTATTAATCATATCCCAGCGATCGCATATTGCTCGGAAATTTTTCTATTTGTTATTTGAGTTAGTCTTAGTGTCGCTATCGATAAATGACATATTAATACTTTATATATTAATACTTTACAAACGGTCAGCGAGCGCGTAGGCCCGATATGTAAACATAGCTACAAGCTGGATCGCAGTATTTCGCAGGCTTCATTTCAACATTAATAATGATAAATGCCAAATCAACGTTACTTTTGATTTATAAAGTAATAATGTAAAAAAGACCTGGCCCTGTGTGTTTCAAAGAACTTTAAGTTCGTGTCAGAAAAAAAAGGTACAGAAATACAAATACAAATACAAAATTCTTTATTTCATCAAAATCCATATACATAAAATTAACAGACAAAACATTGTAACAGGACAAAAATAGGAACCCTCATGAAGCCCGAAGTGACTATTTAAAAAAATTGAGGGGGGGGGGGTCTATGCGAAGCGAACACAATGAAGCCAAAATTTAAGAAAATTAAAAATAGAAAACAAATGAAAAAGAAGAATGCTGGATACCAAGGTAACAGAATCTCTTTGCCGCTACTTTTTATAACTTCCACACGTTCATCATCTTGTTCAGTATGTCTTCGAATTCGATGAGCACTCATTAAGTTCGTTTTGACTTTTAGTGACATTATTGTTGTTTAGATTCCTTTTTATGGTTTTCCTATTGATTTACGATGCCCTCGATGTTTATTTTATTTTATTTTATTTTTTTTGCATTTCATACCGACTGTTCTGTCTTTGATTTATATAAAACAACTTATTTGATAAAGACTATCTCACCGATCAACACTACAAGTTCATAGTAGAAACGTATAAAGTGTCTATTCTCAAGGTGGCTGTGACGAGAGGAAATATGTTGAATCTTAAGAGACTGAGATATGTTCACGAGGGTATAAACATCAAAATCACAGTTACAGAGTTCAAATCACATGTAAATACTGTTCTAGATCACAAGTGTAATTTCATTTGGTTATTATATCTGTATTTTGTTTCATCTGTAGTAAACCTGATCTTTAGAGTTAAAAATTCGCCGATGTAATAACATCTCGCCTTCTGTCAACATTTATCAAGTTTCTGCGATAGAAGTTTAAATTCCTGTCCCACGTGGTACCTCGTCACTTTAGTAAGGCTACATTTCTACATGAATCCGTAGGCTAAATAATGTTTTAAAAAAACTAATGATCCTGAGATCTTCTCTAGGTGATAATGCAACGCGTACAACATGCGCCCGCTAACCAGTAGGAACGCATTACGTTTTGACACACCAAAAAAAAAATACTGAAGGCTCTACCTCATGGAAAAGCTCGTTCCGATTGGTTCATAAATCCTCGGAAAGCGATTGGTTGTAAGTGCGGCTCTTAGAGAACATTTTACTTAAGTACAGTTGTGTGTAGTACGTGGATATCCTTGATATCGATTGATCTCTCTAGTTACAAATTACAAAGAACATTCTGAACATTAAACACGTGACGTGGGGAAATGTGCTGGAAAATAAGGACCACAAAGCTAAAGATTTACATTTAGATAGAACAGGACCATGGCTTTTAAGACACGTCTCTGTCACTTGTTAATATCTTTATTTTTAGCTCTGTGCCATATTATAATTATTGTATCTTGGTCTAAGCCGAAACGGTGATATCAGTCAAATTTAGGTATTTTCGTTTGATATAAGAAGTTATAAATACCGTAGCCTATCTATAAACTAATACAATGAATAAAGATGCATTATGCTTGTATATAAAAATTTATATATGTATATGTATATATATACATATATATACAATATATATATATATATATTATATATATACATATATATATACATATATATACAATATATACAATATATACATATATTGGCTACAAAGTTTAATAACCATGGGCATCGCATAAGAGTAGGCAAAATATACCGCGAGAAACAAAATAGACGCATTATTGAATTAAACCATTCGTTTAGTAAAATGCTGGCCGTTTGATGACCCCAACCAAACAATCCTAACAACCCGAAGGAAAGCCAATCGGCAACTGAGTATTGATGTGGGTAAACGTGCTTAGAGAATGCACTTCTCCATTGGCATGCTCCTTCCATCCCAACTCAACCTTTAGTTCACCCCGTATCGCTTACCGCAGTCATACCAAAGTGTTGCCACAGGGCACCCGGAATAGTACAACAACCAACACTTCAACAATATTCCGACTCGGATCTTTAAAAATAGATTTTAAATACTTAAGTTAATCAAATAAGAACTCTCGTGTGTAAGGCTTTAGTGATCATTTTTATAGCGTAAGATGACTATGATGATCATTATAATATGATTATAAACCAAGTAGGTAATAATTATACTCTAATAATAAAAAAATATAAATAATATTAATAATAATAATAATAATAATAATAATAATAATAATAATAATAATAATAATAATAATAATAATACTAAGAATAATAAGTAAAGGAATGTATACGATTTACAGTACCACTAATGGTGCGATTAGATATTGATATTATATTGTAGGAATTTTACTATTGTACGATCAAAATACTATTACATAACACAACAATATTATAGAACGTTGTACAATTGGGTGGTACACTTTCCCGAAGTTAAATTGTTTTTACAGCGTTTAACTTGGCTCAAGCACCTCATGGCTCTAGAGAGGACGATCTTCTCGCAATTTAAGATTAAAATGTTAGCTAATAATTATTTGGGTCTCCGTCCGGTTTCTCCGTGGATAGTCAGTCCGATCGTATTACACTATTCCTTCCACCACAAACATCAACCAGCCTGCACTATACTGTACACTCATTGTGCGTGTGTGACTTCGCACCGAACCAACAACATATTGGCGCATGCTCATTTACTGAGAATTTATCACGTTCAGTTTGTCTGACTTAAACGATACTGCGGTAGTGCTCTACACGCATTCAGTTGAGTGGTTAAGCATAGTAGCTCAGGACACACGGGAAGAACTAGCGTTATAAGAAATAATAAGTGTTATTGATAGGCTAGCCTGCTACGGTCGTGGAGTATTATTATACTTGTTTAGCAGTAACTTATTGTTGCCATGCCTATGTTGCCAGATCACTACGATACCTTCTATCCTACTCCGATGTCCCATTACGAGGAATATGCCAATGGCCCGGCCGGAGCTGAGTTTAACTTGGACACTATAAAAAGTGAGTAGATAAATTAATTATTAAAAAACAAAACAAAAAAAAAAACAACAAAACAAATGGATTATCCATCGTCATGATATTGTAACCTCACTCATTAACCTAGCAGTCAGATTTTTCCGTATACATTATGCGCGTAACCTTAATTAATATTAAGTTGTCACTAACACATTGTGTCCATTTCATATAGTGTTGATATATAATTGTATAGGCCTATGTTAAATACAATTTTAAAAATAATAAAAAAATTACTGTCGGCCAAAATTTTAAGGAGTTTTTTTCATTATTTTTATGCAAATATGAAATACTCGGATTTGTAATATTAGGAGTGCTTTAAAATAAATAAATCCCCGGCGAAATTACGTAACATTTTTGTAAAATGCTTTTTAAAAAGCCGCAAACTAGCATAGCGAGTAAAAATAAGGTACAGGTACACATGTAAGTGAAACTCGTTGTATTTTCATCTTATGTAATTATTTAAAAAGTTTTTAAGTCATTGCACTCTAAAATATTATAAACTAGTGCCAGTGAACTGCAAACTATCACGTGGGTTTGTATTTACATTTAGGGTTCATACTCGGAAGGCATTCCTTCCCGAGCTATATTGATGCACAACTGCTAAACTGTCGCCGTATGCATTAGTCATCTCGCCTCTCACTGGCCAATGTCGTATTATAACAAAGACAATCATTCAAGCGAATGTCCAATCAGATCGCGTTTCACATAGCTATCTTGGTCAGAAGAGAACGTGACTAAGAATCTCATTAATATGTATTATTATTAATATATTATTGCACATGCGCAAAGGCTTGTATTTATCACGTTCGGTTTGCCACGATTCGTGGTGCTGTTATCAATCTGTCTCTTTTCAACATCACCATACATACTTGCAATACATGTTACGTGTTAAATACTAGCCAACATACAATAGTCGTGCAAATATTAGGTTATTAAACAACTTCGTATTTGGACGTTTTATTGGGACGCAACAATCTTGGAAGATATTTTAACGCTGTTTTAGCTCGCTTTTAAGTGCACTGAAATTATTTTCGCGATGACAAGCGAAGTGGAGTTTCAAGAACCTCGTGACTCGGGAAACTCTTCCCCGCCGGGTCAAGGTCAGTATGATTGTATAGAAGCTATCGTAGCCTATTGATGGTGCCTGCCTGGTGTTACAGTACTTACTTCCAGGGTATCTATTCCGGACTAAATGCCGCTGTTAATGGGCGTTTTCGATCGTTTGCATGCACGGTGTATCGTTTTAGTCAGGGAAAACTGGGAATGTGTCCGAAGGGGTACACTTTGTCCGACATGGGAGGGGAATTTTTGTTGTATTATATTGTGTCTCTTTAATAATAATAATAAGACCCAGGGGCGGGCGAGGCACTTTTTACTTAAAGTAGGAACGAGGCTCGGCGACCGTTTGCATCATACATACTTTAAGCCTTATCCGTTGTTGTGTATACTAAATGTAAATAGTGTTCGAGAAAAAACCCCGTACATAGGTACCTAGCACATTGCGGTTAATAATACTGTAGCTACAAGCCAGGTTTGTAGTACTGTTACTAATGCTAACATGTATATATTATCTTTATAGTATGTAATCAAGTATGCTATATATGATAATATACCACGCTCTCATATACTATACTAATACTTCATCAATTATGAATATGAGTAATGTTCATTATAATAACAGCCAAAATGACACCTAGGTGGTTAACCACTAAGATTTGTGACTTTAAGAGTTGCGTCATTAAGTTTTGATCATTATACAGTATATACAAGTTTCATATATTTCATATTTATCTGTCATACATTATTATTATTATCATTATTATTATTATTATAACTATTATTATAACTTATTATTATTATTACGTGTATTATTATTATATAGGCCTATTTAACCATTATGCTGACTTTCAATGTGTATCAACATAATATTCCTCATAATTATATTCTTTTAGTTTACATTGTTTATCTGCTTCAATCCATAATTTAGCAAGTGGTTTTACTACTATCACCAATAAAATTGTCAGTGGTGCAGTAAAATATGGAAATAACGACAATACCTTAAACGACATAAATCGCAGCCGCTATACAGCAAAACATCAATTCATTCTTCTATATTATTATGTGCGCGACTTGCCTCGTCGATAAATCGTTCTTCTATTTTCTAACCTTATCTCTTCAATACGTAGATAAATATGCAAAACCCTATCTGTATGGTGGTTGATAATTCCAGACTGACTAATTCTATTGTCCATTATAAGTTACGTAACATGGCTAAGTACAGAACCATGAAGATTAGCCAGCGAGGACAAAGGCTTAATGCGTTTGAAAAAAAATAAATAAGCGTTGTAAAATCGAATTTTCCATGCATGTTTTATACACTAATTGTGCAGAATATTTTACGTTTAGAAAGGTAATATAGTTGTATTCTGTGAGAATTATTCATAGCATTGAATGCGGGTAGATCGAAATCATTAATTCAGACTTCGTCACGGTTCAATGGTTACATTTTTCATGACAAGAGCTTACGTTTCTATTGCATCACAACAAACATCTGGTGCGAGTGATAATTCAGTTTACTTAATTTATATTTTGATAAGTTAATTAAAAATGCTGTGTTTTATTAATTTATTTTAGCACCAACATTAGGGATGGACTTCAATTTCGAGCAAAACAACGTAAAGGTGGAGTTCGAAGATGAGCAGTGTCCTGTTTGTGGGGATAAGGTATCGGGTTATCACTATGGACTTCTGACCTGTGAAAGTTGTAAAGGGTTCTTCAAGAGAACAGTGCAGAATAAGAAAGTGTATACATGTATTGAGAATAGGAATTGTGCAATTGATAAAACCCAGCGAAAAAGATGCCCTTATTGCAGATTTCAGAAGTGTCTCAAAGTTGGCATGAAATTAGAAGGTAGGTCTAAAATAAACAATAAAAAAAAAACAATTTTCATAATCACCACACTCTTTGATATGCCTTCTGGTTAAAAGTATGATTACAGAAACAGAATTTTACCAGCGCCCAAAGGAAAACTATACAGGAACATGTATATAGTAGTTACTCAATCCATGCGAGAAAGATAGGCGGATGAGAGTACTTGTTAACTTCCTCTTCATGGTTTCCACTCTAACCTTTCAATGCAGCCGAACATAAACACCTTCCAGTTTCCACATTATTCAGGTCAAGCAGATAAATCTACCTTTTAGAGATTTAATTTCTAATATCGGTTTCTAGAATTTGTAAAACTGGTACTAATCTCATGCACAGGAAATACTGGTAGTATGCGTGAGTTGTTTTTATCTGGTGGATATATAGGTCGAAATTCAGCGACCAATATACTACAAGTTAATCCTGGGATTTAGCCGGATTAAAGGTTTATCCCTGATCACGACCAATCCCTATTATATTTTAATCTTGCAACGAATTTCTATGTAAAAGAAGTAAGCCGGTGTTTAAAGAAATATCAGTGAACCGTTCGACGCTTTTGTCGGCGTTTTATATTTTTGTTGTGTTCAGAATATGTAATTCTTAGTAAACATACATTTAAAATTAGGTCATAAATTAAGAGGTCGCCTTATAACGTTGATTTATTTTGTTATTTTTCAGCTGTTAGACCAGATAGAATGCGTGGTGGACGAAATAAATTTGGCCCGATGTACAAGAGAGATCGTGCGCAGAAACAGCAAATGAAAAATAAGATCCTTGCAACAAGGCAAGTTGTTGGGCCTGACATTTCTATGGCATTGAAGAACATCCACGCAGCAGCATCCACTAGTTTACCTCTTTACCCGCCCCAAGCTGTAGTCATCCGAGATCCTCGCAAGCCTACGCTTATGAACATTCCACAGCCTATTGCCTCAACCCCAAACGGCTATATGAATGGACAAATGCAACCTCTAAATTACACAACAAATTCCCATTTACCGCCGACATCTTGCAACTCACCAACGACGAGCAGCAGTCCTTTAGACGTGAAACCAGAACCGGACAATACACCCAAGCTAATTACAGAACTATTGAAGAGTGAAACAGACCCTGCCCAACTTCAAAGTAAAGTTGCCAGTTTCATGCAGTCACAAATGGGAATGACAGCCCCCGGGGACATCTTTGGTATGACGTGCAAGCTAGCAGACCAAACACTCTTTGCATTCGTTGACTGGGCAAGAAATAGCATCTTTTTCAGGGAGCTTAAGGTACTTTTATGAATATACCGTAAATGATTCAAAATATTTAGAGGGTTCAGGGCGGCGCTTATTCGTGAACAGTAGTGTTAAAATTGTACCGTAATGTGTAAATAGGCAAGTGAGAAATCTGTTATTTATTATTATAATACTACAAGTATCAAAGTATACGAAACATCGAAGCGTTAAATTTGTTCTGTCGATTAAGCCCCGCGACTCTTTATTTCTTTAATAAACACCACGAGGCTTATTCGAGAGCGGCGCTTAGAAAAAATGACGTTTGGTGTGGCGTTTATTTGATAGAGGCGTTTATTGGATTATTATGGTTCTTTTAATAAATATTTTTGGACTCAAGATCTTGTTTATCGTCTTAATATATTAAAATTGACGTTTAATAGCAATTAATCACCTGCAAGTATGTGGTTTGATTTTATTTAGAAGTAGTTTTCTTCGCATCAAACATAAGATTGATTATGTAATACATGCGTGATGTTTTACGTAGCCAGATCGACCTACGTGTATTACTTTAACGTATGTTTATGAACATGATTGATTTAATAAATTTCAACAGGTTGAAGACCAAATGAAGTTATTACAGAACGCGTGGAGTGAGCTCTTAATTTTCGACCACATGTATAGGCAAGTGCATTACAACGGAGATGGCATTCTTCTTGTTACTGGTCAGACGATCGACCCGAAAACTTTGCCAGCTCTTCCCGCAGGAATGGAGAACGTAGCTGAAAGGATATCCAGGGTGATCATGAGAATGCAGGAGTTAAAGATCGATTACAAAGAGTTCGTCTGCATGAAGTTTATGGTTCTATTAAATTCAGGTAATTCTACTCATCTCATTTATTTTATCAAGCCATATGACCAACACAATACACAACACCCACCAATAGTATATACTGTA